CACAGGAGAAGCATCGATTTCCACTCAGCCTCTGCCTCACACTGAACCACAAGCGGAAACTCAAGAGACGGAGGCACAGCAGACTCTTCCTCCTCCGATTCCGCGACCACCTCCTCAACCGCGCTCCAAGTGGCAAGAGCTTCTCAATGCTATTTGCTGTATGGAGACGCGAGTCGTCGAGCGCATTGACCAGACGGAGCAGATGATGACTGAGCGCCTCGACCGACATGATCGCCGCCTTCGAGCGATCGAGGATCATTTCCATATCCGACGGTCCCCTACTCCGACACCTCATCAGGAGGAGGGCCATATTGGTACCTCACAGGGTCCTCATGGAGCCGAGGAGGCAGTAGACCCTCGTTCCGAGCAGCCATGACGCTACTTAGCGGATTTGATCTTTTATGTCTTTATTTATTTTTCTTTTCTTTTGTTAAGACACACTTGTAGATTTTTCTTTTAGTTGAATCATCTTGTGCTACTTATGGTATTTGGTACCCTTGTTGTCTCATTTTGGACAGAAAATGGATGATCGTGATGATTAAGGGCTTCAAAATGGCATCACCACCTATTTGAGGGAAGTTTCAGTTCTTTTACCTTCCTCTACAATGAGGACATTGTAGATTTTAAGTGTGGGGGAGGGATTACTTTATCTTATGGGCGATTGTGTCTTGAAATGCATGATTTTAGTTGTTTATAGCTTAAAAATGTTGGAATTATATTTGGAGATATTGTCATGAGGATAATTTTTGTGAAATTGAGGTTGTTGGCAGGGAGTTTCATCTATTTTTATGGGGAAACTCTGTCAAAATTTTTCTAAAATAATTTCCAATATTTCAATTCTTCCAATTAAATGGCCAAAATGTTAAAATTTTAAGTGTTTAATTCTTCCATTGGATAAAATGCTATGTGTATTTTGGAAAAGTTTAATTCTTATTTGGCTTGGAATGAATTATTATGCAAGTAAGATTTTTACATTTTAGAAAGTATATTTGGTTAAATAAGAAAAATTATGCTTAGATTTTTGCAAGATTAATGATATTTATCATTTTTACTTAATTTTATAAGTAAGTGATTGATATAGTCAAAGAAAAGGCCAAATTCTTCCTTTATTTATATTTAGAGGGAAAAAGAAACGGATTATTTAAAAAAAAATGAATGAAGAAAAATATTATTATTTTACTCCAATGATTCACATACTGAGTAACCGGGGGTTGGCATTTACAAATGTCGACATTCGCGTAAAAAGGTATTAGAATTAAGAGTAGGCTTAGCAATTTAAATAAGTGAAATGTCGAGTAACCGGGAATTTTCACCTAAAAGTGTTGATTTTCGCGTAAAAAGACGTTTTCACTATTTAAATAAAATGAAATGAGAATAAATCCCTCTAAATTGTGGAGTGTTGGAATGAGGAAGGCCATAGAATTGACTATGTGATTTACTTATTTGTAGAATTAGGATAGAATGAGAGATTGAGTTGAATTTGTTAAAATTAGGGCATAATTATTTTTCTTTAATTGAATATTATGAGTATTTAGTGTAATTTGAGAAATGGCATAATGATTGGTTTCTAGATTTTCTAGGAATTAAATTTGACAAAAGTACGTATATTGCTTTATCTATTGAATCATTGAAGTAAGTTTTGTGTAAAAGTGCTTGAGGACAAGCAATGATTCAAGTGTGGGGGAATTTGATAAGTGAATATTTAACGTTCATTTTGTACGAATTTGGCATGAATTTTTGGTATGTTTTGAGAAGATTAAAGCCATATTTGAACTCTTTTGGTGATAATTGCTTAAATATTGTTTAAGGGTTAAGAAATTGATAAATGAGTGGATTAATGCGTTAATTTTGTGAAATTGTGAAGGTAATTGATGTATGAAATTCATGCACAAGTTGAAAGAAATGTCAGGGTCATCCAGAGGACAAAGTACACAAGAAATTGGGAGCAAAAATGTAGAAAAAAGGGAAGAAGTGAAAAACTGGAAAATTGCTCAACACGGATCCGAGCTCGGATCCGTGTGTACAAGAGGGATCCGACCCCTCGTCTGTACTTCTGGCGGAGTGTATCCGAGGTCAGGACGATCCGACCTCGGATCCATCATGGGAAGTCCTCGGATCCTCTAATCAGAGCTCGGATCCATTTTTCAGCCCTCGGATCCGTGGCTCGGATCTGTCTCTCTCCTCAGCAAGTGGCACAGCCGTTTTTCTTTAAACTTTTTCAGCTATTTTGAGGGACACAAATCGGTGGCACATGCTTCTGCAATAAAAGAGAAGACCAAATGAGTGTGGACAAAAGGAAACATCATATCTTTGACTTCTTTTTACAAAATCTGAGTGGAGGAAATTATGAAGTGAGAGGAATGGAATTTCTACCACCTTTTATGCAGAAACACAGGGGAGAAGCCTGGCATTACCATACGTAGCTAGTTTTCTTTCTTGCAACAAGTTTTCTCTCTAGTTAAGAGTTCTTAGAGAAGCATTTGGAATTTCACTTGTAATCATATTGTGCAAGAACATAGCAGGAATTGGAGAGTTTCACCTTCAATTGGCTAAGCTTTCTTTTATCTTTCTTATACTTGTATTTTATGATATTTTGCATTAATAAACTTGTGAGTTTGATTGTTAAATCATTCATGAGTAGCTAAACTCCTTCATCTAGGGAGTAGATGAAACTTATGGCTAAATAATACTAATTGAATGTGATTTACACTTGTTATATCTTGTATTAACTTGTCTACTTGTGTAGCTGTTCTTACTTGTTATTCATTGATCACCAATAGCATGTTTATAGTGTTATTATTCAATGAGAATTGGTAATAACAATTGAAACACATGAGTAGAGCTTGAGTTGTATGTTCATGAAAATAGAGATACACTTAGGTGGATTATTGAGCATTTCATGAAATAAAACGGAGTAGTAGTAGTATTTCACCATGAAAATAGGAAAATCTATATTGCTCTAAGCCATTTCATCATGAAAATGAGACTTGGTAATCTTGGAAATAAATCTCTGGTTAAGCAAGAATAATAGCAAGAAGTAAATCCATTCATTTGTGTAGTTTATGCCATAAGTGGAATCTACATCCCTACAATCTTCCTTAAGTGAAATTTCTCTATTTGCATTCAGCATTTGTTAAACTAGATTTGTATATCAGAGTTGTAGATTACAGCATTAGACTTTCTCTGCTCAAATTAATTGTAAGTCTAAATAATAGAGAGAACAAGGGCTTAGTAATTGTTTAAATTGCTCCTCGTGGGATCGACCCGATACACATCTTGTACTACAATTGCGACCTGTATACTTGCAGTCCAACGGGTGTAAAATCGGAATTAAACTTGCATTGATAGTAAAAACCCCGTCATGACCTGTGCTACCTAACGTCATCAAAGTAGGTCTTTCTGATAGCCTTATAGCCAACTTATGGATTAGGGGCAGGAGTGGTCATCAGGCCGACCGCTCCTGAACGGTCCTTTCACAGGCAAAAACATGAGGAGAAAAATGATCCACGTCAGGAAGGCTTAAGAAAGGGTAAAAATGACGCCGTTCGAAATTAAAAAATTTTGACTTCCAAACAGAATCAGACGGAGCAAACGGTAGAATTGAAATTTTGAAAAGCAAGTTGAAATTTTGAATTAGCCGCAGAAAACAAAATTGAGGGAAGAGTCTTGGCATGCTCCGTCTGAAGGTAGGGAGTTGACAGAAAACTCTTATCTCAGTTTTCTTTTCTTAGAAAACTCTTTTCTCAGTTTCTGTTCGAGAGTGTTACCAAGAAACTGAGAAGAGACTTCGGAGACTGGGTCAGCAAATGTTGTATCCATTTAAATGCTTACAAGGCAGGCGGCAAGGTAGAAGCAAACAGAGGAAATTCAGCATCTCATAAAACACCAGATTTTGTCCTTCAACTTAATAGCAGAAGTAGCTGCGCTCTCTGAGTTTGGTAAAACGTAGAGCGTATTTACAATACCAAGGTAACGTGACTGAACCATGTAACTAACTGTGGCCAATCATTTGTCATCCAAATGTACATCTGTTAAATGAAGGATGAAATTAGATTTACTAAAGACATCATATGAAGATGATAGAAGAATAGTAAAGTTGTACCGTGTCTGTGTGTATGTGAGCATTCAGCTTTTTAGTGATGGATTATAATGAAATAGTAGTTATCGGAAGACCCAGGAGTATGTATTCAAGTAAAGCGAAATTAGGGAAAGATGAGAAAAATAAAGTCACATTTAACAAGTGAATGAATGTACATCCTGTTGTAAATTAGTTACAAGTTATAGGCACTGTATTATAATTGATATGAATCATTGTGCATCCAGCAGTTGGTCTATGCTCATGACACAATCTTAGTTTGCCCCTCTCTCCTGACCATGTGGTGTGTGTAAAATAGAGGTACAGAGTTGAATGAGGTGAAGCAGAAGAAAAGACCGACCTATGTGAATAATAAATGGGTGTACTTGGTATTGTAAGTAAATTACATGATGTAATAAATATATTACAATGAGTAGAAAATACTTGTTTGACCCTCAAAATATAGAAATAGTAAAAAATGCGGAGTTGGCTTCGGCAGTTGTCATTGACGAATGACATAAGGTCTAGTGAAACAAATTACCTAGAACCTAAATATAATCACCCGAGTGGATGAACATACAGTTAAAATATACTTACATTATGTGACCAACACAATACAGTACGTATAACCTAATGTACATGGAGTTGTATTGTACATACATAATGCCGTTGTCTTAGAGTATAATAGGATTGGTATATGAGTATTTGTACAACATTAATCATATCGATTGGGAGTAATAATAGGATTTGATATACAAGTAATGTGTGTAACATAACACATTATGAATGGTAATATACACTTATATTGTTGTTTATGTACATATTATTCATGAACTGTTGTAAATTATGGTGTTTGATACATAATTGGTAGGAGCAGAAGTAATGGATTAGCAAATTGGCAGAAGATGGGACCCCTGAGTTAGGAATGGAGTTCAACAGTGAAGAGGATGCGTACAAGTTTTACAACAAGTATGCCTTTAAAATGGGTTTTAATGTACGTAAAGACTATTTGAATAAAAACAAAGACGGCGTGACCACGTCTAGGAGATATAGTTGCTGCAAGGAAGGTGTGAAGCGCAAGTATGAAGGTGATGTGATGCCAAAGAGGACACGAGCGTCGACGAAAACAGGGTGTGGAGCTAAAATGGTTATCGTGTTGTTTAGATGGGCAATGAAATACCGTGTGCATGACCTTGTCTTAGAGCATAATCATGAGTTGCACATTGCTCAATGTGCGCACATGATGCCATCACAAAGAAAAGTGAGTGTGGCTCAAGGATTCCAAGCTGAAATAAGCTAGGATGCTGGGCTTTCATTGAAACAGAGCCATGAGCTTATGGGAAAGAAGGTAGGTGGGATGGGTAATGTGGGATATACTCGAGATGATCTTAAACGATATTTTCGAACGAGACGGGTAAGGAGCTTGAAATATGGAGAAGCAGATAGCATGTTGAATTATTTTCAAAAGTAAACACTCGAGAATCCATTCTTTTTTCATGCCGTACAGCTGGACTGTGAAGAACAGATAATGAATATCTTTTGGGCTGATGCAGGAATGTTAATTGACTACAACATTTTTGGAGACGTAGTCACATTTGACACAACCTACAAAACAAATAAAGAATACCGGTCATTTGGAGTATTTGTGGGTTTTAATCAGCATAGGCAAATTGTGATATTCGGTGCTGCCCTTATGTATGATGAAACGATAGATTCTTTCAAATGGGTGTTTGGTACATTTCTAGAAGCAATGTGCGGAAAGCGTCCAAGTACCATACTAACCGACCAAGATCACGCCATGACAGCCGTTCTTTCTGTTGTCATGCCTGAAACATTTCACGGTCTATGTACGTTTCACATAAGACGTAATTTTATGAAACATTTTGGCAATCACTACAAGAAAAATAGTGATCTTCCATACATGTTTGGTGCCTGCATGTATGAGTTTGAAGAAGTGGAACAATTCAATAGGGTGTGGGAGGCGATGGTGAAGAAACACAATCTTGAAAATAATGAATGGCTCTCCGGGTTATATAGAATTCGTGATAAATGGGCAAGGTGCATGATAAAAGAAAGATGGACCGCAGGAATGCGAAGCCCCCAACTTAGCGAAAGCCTAAATGCAGCAATTAAAAATCATTTGAAACTGGATCATGACCTTGTGCAGTTCTTTAGACATTTCAATCGAGTGGTTGATGAAAAGAGATATAATGAACTGATCGCAGAATATGAAATGAGGCAAAAGCTGCCCATGGTAGGGTTAAGGCAAACACCTATGCTTGTGCATGCATCAGAGACGTATTCACCAACCATATTTGTTACATTTCAAAATGAATATGGCGAGTCAACAGCTATGGTTATATTGAGACAACAAGATGCAACGATGTTTGTGGAGTTTGCGGTCATGAGGTATGATGGAGGACCTGAAAGAATAGTGGTATTCAATCGGAATGATCTAAGTGTACGTTATAGTTGCAAAAAATACGAGAATGAAGGCATTTTATGTGGGCACGCGTTGAAGGTGTTTGATACCGTGGGTACTATACAAATTGCGAGACACAAACACTAGCCACTTACATATTAAGTGATTTAGATGAAGCCTCGGGTTCTTTGCCACCAAACTTTCCTGTTGGTTTATCTCTACCACCTTGGCCACTTGAAGTTCTCGATCTTTTTCCTGCCATCTGAACTAAGAGTTATACAACTGCACTTCAGTTCTATTATGCTTTCCCAAGTTATTCTGAATGCATTACAAAGTAATAACATCTATAATACATCACTTTCAAATCTCAGTAACAATACTTTCAAAAACTTGTAACTTTTGTTCCACACTATGTTTGCCAAAATTAATAGTGAGTTAATTATTCTGCTGGGCATCTTCCACTTACAATCTACTCTCACTCATTTATCATTTTTTACGCAATTGACCTCTTCTTCTATTTCTTGTCCTACTGTACACATATGAGTTATGTATCAATTGTGAGGTACCAATTGAACAATTATGTAATATAGTATTTTATAGAGCAATTATTATATTATAATTTCTAAGTCACTGCGTGTTACACTTATCCAACTTCATGTCCAATCACACTAGCGGAGCAAAGCTTGTAACCCTTTTTTCACATTCAGTATGTCAAACTTAACGCAAGTAAATCATTTTTCATACCTTGTTCAGCTTGTCGTCTGCTGCCCTACCTATCAAGTTCCAAACAATCGACTTCTTCTTCTCTTTATCCTGTGATTATACAAATATGAGTTAACTAACAAACAATAACTAGAAAGTTCACAATATGTTCATGCAATTTTACACATCAGTTTTGTTACTGTAACTTCTGAATCACTGCATGTAACAGTTATCCAACCTGCTGTCCAACATGCCTAGTTAAAACAACTTGTAACATTTTTGGCCACAATGCATCTATCAATCTCAGTGTTATATACATTCACGCCGCTTAACAATTTTACCCTGCATCACTATTTATTCATATCAAATGTCTCTTATACAATACTCTGATACATACTTAAGGGAACTATCTTTGTAACACTTTTTTTCGCTTTGTATGTCACAATCAATAGGATGTACAAACCACAAACAAATAAACTATAATCCGCCCCCAACCATTGCTAGCCAACAGAATCTACAATAAGTTCAAAGCAATAACTAGTACCCCTATTATATTATTACCCAACCAATTCCATACCCCATTCACACGATTTTGCAAATACTTGGCGCACTAAATTTTTTGCACCTGTCCTCCCCAATGTTGGCCACCAAATTACATACCTTTTACCCCTCAGTACCAATAAACATTCTGTTCCAACAAAATCATTAAAGATCAATTAACCTATTCATTTACGACATTGTTCAAAAATAACAACTACTCACATCACTCCACCACATTGTTAAGTTTCGAAAGTTATGTCATAACATTGTTGTTTTGTTACCTGGGTGTTTCCTACTTTTTCTCTTCTCCAGATGCCCAACGTTCCACTTCACAATTTTGATTCACTTTTGCCAAGCCCTTCTAGATTTCAAACCGCGACAACTCTGCATGTTGGATCGCTCCTTCGTTACAAATGTATTTTTCCCTACTTTCCCCTTTCCCTAGTTTGCCCCAGCCACTTTCTTGCCTGTAGCCACTTGCTTGTTTTGCCTCCAGCCACTTTCTTATTTTCTCTTTCTGCTTCCGTTTTTTGGTGTTCTGGGGTGACTGAAATTTGGCTATAGTTAGTATGGAGGGAAAGCAAAAGACTTTTGTGTTTGACGATGCATTTGGGGTGACTGAAGTTCCACAGATTTTTGCAATGTTCAACGCACTGTACCAATTCTCTTTATTTCCTCTGTTATTTTCTCCTCTCAAATCTTGCCCTATTTTTTGGCAGATGTGAATTTCGGCAACTGCTCCATTTTCGAGGGAGTGTAATTGCGTCTTTTAATTTTCAACCTTTTATTTTGAGCGGGACTTTGCTAACGATCGGTGCTGACGGTCCGTTACGGTCTCCTCGCTTCTTCTATTTTTTTCAATTTGAACTAAATCAAACGGCGTGGTTCTTTGCCCTGTTGAAGACTTGCTGACTTGGCTCATTTGTCTCCTCACGTTTTTGATTGTGAGGAGACCGTTCAGGAGCGGTCGGCCTGACGACCGCTCCTGCCTCGTATCCGCCAACTTATATATCTGGTCTTACTTGTCAGGATGATTCTAATATCAAGACACACCATAATTTTTTCACTATTAATACATTCAAGTCTCATACATAATAGGTAACGAATCTAACCTCGACTACTTTACTTGAGATCATACATTCCTATACTCTTTTAGCTTAGGTACTGGACTTACAATAGGGGAAAGCCCTACTCTGTGTCTTCCTACTATTTGATATTGTTATGTTGTAGAATCATCTAAGGATACCTTCACAATCTTGAATTTTTTATGACGTCCTTGGGAGAATCATTCCTTGCTCGCACAATTAGTGTCGTCTGTGAAAATCGATAAGTTTAAGTGCCTCTTGCTTCGATGACCAAAACCTGATTATATTGAGGTAATCAGCTCTCCCAAGTCCTTAAAGACCAAGCAATGAACCTCTAAGAAGGTCATCAAGTTATCTCCTTGAGAAGCCTCAGTGCCTCAGTGTAGATGCTATTGCCTAGGTGGCCGAATTTGTGGCCTGGAACCTTAGTCTTTTTGAAGAGATCGCATATATGAAGGGGAAGAAAAGGCCAAGCCCTTTTGACAAAAGCCTAAGGCTTCTCTAACATAGCCCTCTTCTAAAGGTAAGTCGAATGATAGTTACCCAAAGAAGAAGAGGGATAACCCACCAAATAAAAGGAAAAAATGTACTCAAAATTGGCGTCAGTTTCAATGGTCCTTATGAGAAACCCATTCAAAAAGAAGGAAGCTAGTGAAGCCTCTAGGTGAGAATTTTTCCTCTATGGGGATTATATGAGGGCTTCCCCTTTTACCCCTGATATCAATGAGGAGCTGAATTTCAAACTACTGAGTTCCCCCACTATGATGATAAAGAGATCCTAAGAATGATATCCATGCTTTTCTCTCAGCATTTCAGCTATATGGAGTTTTCGTTTTTATAATGTACCAAGCTTTCCTATATTTCTGCAAGGAAACACTTGAAAATGGTTCTGGAAATTGGAACCAGAAATTACAAATTTGTGAATAAGTTCATCTATCAATTCGTCTCTTTTTGATCGATCACTAAGACCGTGACATATTCTATGAAAATCAAGTAGTAGCCCAATGAATCGCTTAGATTTTGCCTAGCTCATTTTTTCAAAGAAAGCATCCAAAATTTTGACCCAGATGAGTAGGTCACCATGGTAGCTTTCATTCATGGGCTCAGGTCTGGAACTTTTAACATGAAATTCCATTAGAACTAATTCTTGTCATTAAACGAGTTTTAAAAGTGAATAGATAAGTTCATCCAAGCCGAAAACTCCAATAGGCTCAAAAGAGAGGTTCATACCTACCAAGTTACAACGGATAGAAGAATCAGGGTACGCCAAGGAAGAAGTGGGGCAGGCACCTCAATCGGGCCTGGGCAGTGCAACTGAAGCATTTTTGACCAAATTTCTAGAGCCAAACCTCCCAATTTAGCAAGGACTTGACTCCCCTTAATACTATCCACTCTCACATCTTGGACATAACGGATCAATAGAATTTAGGATGTCCTATGCCGAGGATAAAGAGAAAAGAGAGAAGAAAAACCCCAAACTTTACTGTGCATACCATCACGATATTAGCCATAAGACTGAAAATTGTAACTATCTTAAAAGAAGATCAAGAATTTGCTAAAGCAAGGATATCTCTGATAGTTTGTTAAGAATGACAGGAGTGGAGATTCTAGTGAAGATCGTCAAGAAGATCGTCAGGTTGAGCATTGAAAAAGTCATTGAGATGACTGATGAGATTGGCAAAGTTATGATAGGCCTTAACGAGATGGGAGAAATAATATGTCACTCTGAAACCGATTCCCTTACCTTGGCTTAGCATTTGGCTCAATGATAAATACCATATGTGGGGGACTTGGAAGAGGCAATAGATAGACCTCTTAGAACAGGACTTACCGATAAGTTGCTAAGGTTTGACTAAACTACCATCTAATCCCTGTGGTTCGGTAATATTACAAGCACTTCCTTTCTCACTCATGGCATCAAAGCCCTAAAAACAAAAGTAGTATAATGATAGATTTATGTCTCTTTGGGAAAACTTATAGTTATAGAAAACTTACAGTTAAAAATAAAAGATTTCCTTATACTATATAAAAATGAGTTATGGTTAAAGGGGATTTGAATTTCAACCACATGGATAGGATTTTTGGGAATGTGGACTATTATGTAGTTTTTTAAAAACTTTTGGTACAACTGAGAGTAGCATGTGTTTAGGTATATTTATCGAAATGCTCTCATTTTTTATACATTTAAAGTTTTGATTTATGAACACATCTAGGTATTTCTAAAATATGAAATTATTTTATAACTATTTTTGCATCAAGTACAACTTATATAAATTTATGTGTTGGTGTAATTGTTGAAATGGTGTTATAGACACATTTAAGTGAAGTATAGCTTTTATTGTGCAATTAACACAAAGACATATTAACAACTAGCCATTGGAGGGTATTCTTTTGTTTGAAACAACTTATGTCTCCTCTTGGGCGATTTTCAACTGACATCTGTAGGGGCCATATGAAAATGGTAAAAATATAAAAGTATTGATAAAATAAAGTGTACAAGTGTGTGCTGCAATTAGAATGTATTATTATTAGTTTTGTTATATTTGATGACTATTTCTTTCCAGAATATACTATTATTTGTCCAATGAAAAATTTTCTTTAGCTATAGGCAACAAATATCCGCGCGATGCACGGGCACTGGCCCCTAGGTTTTTAATATAATAAGGCATAAAGCAAAAAGTTTGTTACAGTAAACAAATATTAGTTTTCTCCTAGAAAAGAAATATGAGAAAAAAAACAAGTAATATAGATTTGATAAAATATAAGCAGAAAAGGACAATGAAAGAAATTGAAGAAAGGAGGAACGCCAAAAAATGATAA